TTATCTGCTGCCCCAGGAAGAAATCAGATGGGTTTCTATCTTAAAGAGAAAGAGGGCATCTAATGTGGACTTGTTCTCATTGTTGGCCAGGCCCACTTGCCAATTCCTGACCTTCTAGGAGTCTTTCCTCTGTGGGGTCCATTCAGTCCTGTTCTCCAGCCAGGCATCAGGTCTCTATCTCTGGTGGGCCCAGGTGACAAAGCAGCAGATAGCACGAGTCCTGGAGTGTGCCATGGAGAGCAGTGTGTTTACTCTCCAGGTGTTACTTTCACATCAGCCACTTAGTAAGTGCACCTTCTGTGGATTGGTGCCTTCATGTACTTTGGAAGGGGCTTGGTTACAAAATAAACATGAATAAATCATGTTATGAGCAGGAAATAAGATATAGTTTTGAGCTCTTCCTGATATGAGAACAAGCATTTGGTTCCCCAAGCAGAGGAGGAGAGAGGCCCAGAGTCTGGTGGGAGCTGAGCCCAACCAGTCTGCTCTGGGTCTCCCATTCAGGGTTTGTGAAGGAACAGTCACAGCACAATTGGCTAAATTTGGTTGTGTTTTTATTTTTGTCCAGCAACAAATACTGGCAAAGAATTGGAAATGATTCCTTCCCTTCCTAGCCAAGCTAGTTTTATTTTTAGCTTCAACTCTGGTCTAGGGCTCTTAGCACACTAACCACTCTTCCCACTGCCGGCAGTGGTGGGCTGGAGTCAGTTGTCTGAGTGTAACTCCTGCCAGTCTTTGTACAGCTGTGACAATAGAGGGTGGTTCCAGACACCCCCACATAGAGACCCAATTCTTGTCTTAGGCCTTCAGGAGAGCTCTTGCAGGGAGGGAAAATTTACTCAGAGTGCCTCATTGTCAGAGTTGGGGTAGAGGGGTTGGCAATCCTGGATGAAAAGAGGCAAAGAAAGGGAAAGTGGGAGGAAGGAGCTGGTGTTATTGAAAGGCTTTGAGGAACATAATGATTCAAAACCAGGGCTCTGCGGTCAGACAACCTGAATTCAAATCCTGCCTCTACTGCTTCTTTACACGGTGACCTTAGGGGGATTTCTTCATCTTCTCCAAGAATCAATCTCTCTATCTGTGAGAGGAGGATAATGAAATGACTGCTTCTGGTCGTTCTGGAGTTGGGATCTTGCTCATTCAGCACTTAGCACAGTGCTTGGCAGGCAATTGGACTTGTAGTTCTTAAGTGCTGTTGAGTCGGTTTCAACTCATAGTTGACCTCATGTTGGGTTTCTGAGGAGCAGCTGGTGAGTTTGAACCTCCAACATTGCAGTCGAGTGCTGGTCCTGCAGCACCACCTCTGAACTCCGTTCAGCATCCTAGCAGCATGGAGCGTCCCCAGACAGGGTAGTGACTGTGACTGAGATACACTGGCTCGGTCTACCAGTATGAGAGGTGAGAACTTGTCCACCCTCCCTTGTCCCTGATTCAGCAATTTAAAGATGCCTGACAGAGAGCCATTCAGATCTCCACTGGCATTGGGGATTTATTGCTAGGACAAGGGCACAGGAGCCAGCACGGAAATGGGTCTCCATCTTGGACTAACAGTTACTCTCAGGGGAACAGCGTTCATGGAGATAACAACAGTGGCTCAGTGTGTTTGGGAAACTCAGGTCTAATTCTCTGTGGATGTTTAGTATTGAACATTCTCAGGAGAGACTGATTAGGTCTATTGGCCACCACTCAATATGGGACATCTCTTTGGGGCAGAGTTTTACCTCAAGTCACCTCAGAAGCTTCCCCATGCATAGACCATGGTCCCTAAACCAGGGCTGACTTCTCTACTAGCAGCAAAGTGGACACCATGCCCTGGGCCCATAATACTTTTGTTGTTAAGTGTCATCCAGTTGATTACAACTCATAGCGACGCTGTATAGGGTTTCTGAGGCTGTCAATCTTTCTCCTAAGCAGTGTCTGTAGAACTCGAGCCACCAACCTTGTGGTTAGTAGTCCAGAGCAACCATGCCCCCATAATGCTTTTAAGAGCCCACAAAATATTTTAAGTTTCTTTTAAAATTAGAAGAACTGTGAACTTTTAGCTTGATAAAGGGGTCCTGGTGGCACAGTGGTTAAGAGCTCAGCTGCTAACTAACCCAAATGGTCAGCTGTTCAAACCCACCAACTACTTTACAAGGGAAAGAAAGATCTGGCGTTGGGCTTCTGTAAAAACTACAGCCTTGGAAACCCTACGGGACAGTAGTTCTACTCTGTCCCATAATGCCTCTGTGATTTGGAATCAACTTGATGGCAACCAGTTATTGGGTTCATTTGAGAAAATCGATATAATATACATTGTTGCTGCTGCTGGTGGTAGTGGTGTTAGTCCCCAACTTCGACAATCCCATGTACAACAGAAGATACAGTGCCTGTCCCATGTCATTCCTATGATTGGTTATGAATCAGACCATTATGATCCATAGGGTTTTAATTGACTGATTTTCAAATATAGATAGCCAGGCCTTTCTTCTTAGGTGTCTTTGTCTGGAAGTGCCACTGAAACCTGTTTAGCATCCTAGTAACACACCAGTCTCCAGTGGCAATTGATGATTGCATGTGAGCTGCAGTAACACAGAATCAAACATGGGCCTCCCACGTGGAAGGCAATAATCCTACCAATATTAACAGCCCTTTTTATAACTACACGGTGGTAAAATATACTTTAAAATATTCTCTTATGGAAGAATGTGCTCTTGAAGGCAAAAATGCCAATGATGCATGAAGTCACTATGAGGCCCGCCCTAGTACAAAGAGCCAGGGTGACAGGAATTCCTCTTGGCTCCTCAAGCCTTGACGATCTTCCTCACTATCTTCTCTGTTACTGTAGTCACTGCTACCTGCCATCACTACCTTTGCTTTTAGGATTGGGAGTATTCTCTCTGGTCCTTTATTTATGTTTTAAGGGGCCCATTTTGCATTTCAGTTCTATCAGGTTGTAACAGCTGCCAGGAACACACAGTGAGAGAAGTTTTAAATCCTCATAAGGGCTTTGCGGGAGAGGACACTGTGATCAATTAGTGATGTCTGTCCTGGACTCTGGATTGAGGTGGGGGCAGGTAACATCATGCTTTCTGTGTTTTTGCTTATAAGTGGTCTTTGCCCCATATCCTCAACCTAAGTTCTGTGAAATCAGCATATGTATACCTTAACACGTGTTGAGCATTCCACGTTGAAAGATCTAGAGCGTCTTTTAATACCTGTTGATTGATTGATTGATTGAAGTGATGCCTGTGATTATATTTGATCCCATTTAATGTCCCCCTGACATCCTTTCATTCTTTTTTCCATCTTTAGGCGCCTGAATAAGAATAAACTCCAAGTCCTTCCAGAATTGCTTTTCCAGAGCACCCCGAAGCTCACCAGACTGTAAGTAAAGTTGACTTGTGTTCTCTGCCTTGTGCCTTGCATTGCTTTGGTGATGTGGAAATGTGGTTGTCTTTGTGTGTGCCACTCCGTGCCAGTGGAACCTGGCATGGAGACATGGAGGAGGGCTTTGACATGGTATGCCAGTAGAATGGAATGGAATTGGAGGAAAATGAAGAAACTTCCCACACACACCTCCAGGATGGACAATGAGGGCTAGTGGTTTCAGGTTGCAAGGAGAGAGGAAATTTTTCCATTTTACTAGACTCTGAAATACCCTGAGTGTGGATTTAAGGTGAGTTTATTAGCAAGAGATTGCCAATAGTCCCAGAGAGCATTGGTTTGGAGTAAGCATTTAACTCACCACCTTGCTGTCTGGACCAACTCCTGATCTTTGCCCGCCAGTCATGGAAACTTGGCTCTGTGGTATATGATTTTATGGGAAAAGGGGGATAAAAACAAAACAAAAACACTTTGACTTCTGCTTTATCTTCTACAATAGTCCAGGCTATAATGAGGAGGGAAGAGCCTTTATTCAGTGTGAGAGTGTGGAATTTCAAGGGCTAGAGATGCATGTCTGCTTGGAGATTGTGATTCATGTATTATGGGTGTTAGGAACATGCTAATTATTGAGAGTGAACAGATCTATGATTTTGAACCTAAACGTCCTGCTGGCAGTGACTAACGTAGATCCTGGGGTGAACCAGGTTGCCCAAGGCTTGACTTGCAGAGTGATGAGTGGCACATGGTCTGACTGCCTAGAATTTAGGCAGTAAGATTTGTAGCCTGGCTGGTAAGCATCTAACATTGCTGGTGAGGCTCCAAGGTTGTGGCCACCATGCTCATTTCCAATGGCTGTCTTTAATACCTACTTACGCAGTCAAACAATGCATGTAGCCCCTGGGATAAATCGGGAAATGTAAAACACATGTCAGCATGTTCCCCTAAGAATGAATTCTGAATTAGGAATACACACACACACACACACACACATACATACACAAATGTACTTTAAAAGGGCATTTTGCTGGAACAACAGGAGAGGGCTGGGTGATGTTCAAGTGGTGCCGTGGCCTTACTCGCCTTCTCTAAGACATACCTGTGTTTTGTCAAGGTCTCCTCTTGCTCTGTACTCAAATTCTCTCATTCAGTTAACTTAGCTGACGTTGCTAAAGGGTGAAAGGATATGCCCCATCTTCCGCTCTTCCAGTCTGGTTCCATCCTGGTAGGTATACAGGTGGTGGGTAGAGTGAGGTTCTGCAGGCCTGAATTCTCAGCAGAGCTGAGTAAACAATATCAAATAGGCATATGGGGAAACCACCCTGGTTTTTAACTTCCCCTGCCCTGTGTTTCCCATTCCTTAAATGCTCACGTAATGGCTGTTGCTCAGCCTAGCATTACAATTCAATCTTTCCCACCTGCACTTAATGAAACAATGCCGATGGTATGCTAGTCATCTGGAATTTCAGTATCAGTATCTAGGCAACAAAAAGGTGTCTGTGGGGCTTGGCTTGCTGGACAACATTGAGTAGGTAGGAGCTGAGTGGTCTGGTTGCTATAGGATTCCAGGTGGGCCGGTACTTGCTCATGGAAGTTGTGGCCTCATCGCAACACCATGGTCATCTGGTGATGCCCAATGTTGTGCAAGGGTGGTCTTGATCCAAGCAGAGATGGACTTCCAGTCTGCAATAAGAGGTCTCTGAGATACTGGCAGCCAGGCCCTGGCAGCTGAATTGTGTCTTAACTGCCACTTTCTAGCCAAGAGAGATTCGGAAAGCCACTTTCCTGGTGTGTGCCTAAATATCCTCATCAGTAAATGGGCAACAACTACACCCCTGCAATAGTTCTATCTACTGAAGTAAGTATCCTATAGTAGAAGGGTGTGTGTGTTTATCTTATAAGGTTTCAATTGCTGCATACATGCGATCCCAAAATTGATGATTGCTATTCTGATCTTCATTATCTCTGCTCCTGATCTCCTTTTTCTGGGAGGCATGAAGAGCTTAGGCTCTGCTATGGGTACTGAGATAAAGCACATGGAGCTTTTGCTTCAAACCAGAGAGCTGCGATCTTGAAGTCAGGAACTGTGTTTGATTCATGTTAGTATCTGTTTTTCTCCATAGCCCCAGCTTGGCACAATGTAGGAAAACAGTCAATGACCATTGAATGGATGGATGAATAAATGACTGAGGCAGACTTATGGATATAACAGTGCTCTTGGGAAGTCTTAGTTCTTTTGTCCTTCACTTATTCATTCTGTCATTCAGTTAGCTTTGCCTGAGATCTTGTTCCAGTCTGACCTCTGGGCAATATGTTAGGTTGCAGACATGAAGGGTACCCCATCACAGCAATTGCTGAATAGCTTTCAAAAGGCTGAGAGCTAAAAATATATATTTTTTCATTGAAGCAACTATATTAACTCAAGTTTGAGCTATAATCAGCAATCCTTTTTTTTTCTCTCTGGGCTTGATCTTTGATTTTTCTTAATGGCCCTATTGTATCTTTGTCTTATTTTGTCAGCCACTCCAGGGCCTTTTTGAAAGTAAGCAGGGTACAAATTAGAAATCAATAACTGTGCAATCATGAGTGTGTACACATAGGCCACTGGCTGTGTTTTAAAAGAGCACTGCATCTCAACAGGCATTTTTCTGGTAATGCTAAATGTGGACACTGCGTGGATGACTACTCCCTGGTGTACCATGGGGGAGAAGCAACAATTCTGGACTCTCTTGTTCTTATTAGACCTAGAGACCAAAATTCAACATTCAATCGTTTTCCAAAGACTACTTTTCAGAAAAGCTATTTTCTAGTAATACGGCACGTTTCACATAGTGAAGAGCAAAGGAAAACATTTTTGTGGTGATTTACTTGTGAAAAAACCCTATGGACCACAAAGTTCAGTTCTGTTATGGTTGGGGTTGTCATGACTCAGAGACCAAATTGATAGCAGCCAACAACAACAACATGCTATCATAATATTACTAACTAGCAAGGGGATAGAAATGAGACAGAAGTTAACGTAACCTAAACAGGAGATATAGTGGCTCATGGAATAGAAAAGTCCAGTGGTAGTTATGCCTTTGGACACAACTAGATGCAGGATCTCAGTGATGTTGTTGTTAAGTGCCGTCGAGTCGGTTCCGACCTATAGCAACCCTGAACAGGGTGTCCGAGGCTGTAAATCTTTATGGGAGCAGAAAGCCTTATCGTTCTACCGCGGAGCAGCTGGTAGTTTTGAACTGCTGACCTTGAGGTTCGCAGCCCAATTCGTAACCACTACGCTACCAGAGCTCCTTCAGTGATGTCATTAGGACTCTTCATATATAGTGCTCTCCATCTCTGGTAATAAGGGACATGGTTGTATCCCCTCGTGAACCGAGCCCCTATGTCGAGGCGGGTCCCCGACACATGGTAGTAAGTAAGAGTAGAAGACTCACAGCATAAAACTTAGCAAAGCAGTGGAGTGAGTAGTGTGAAGAACGTCATACTCGCTCTGCCACTCATAAGATAGATGACCCTGAGTATGTCATTTCCGCTCTCTGGGCCTCAGTTGTCTCATTAAGACAGGAAGGGACTCATGATCTCTTATAAGATCCATAGACTATTGATCTCTCCTGTCATGTACCCTTTCAGATTTTTGTTTCCCGTGCTTGGAAAGGGAGAGGTAGTGAAGAATTTCTGGTTATTTGGAGGTTAATTGGTTAATGTTGCCAGAAATTGTCTAGAAGGAGCACAAGGCAAGGTGAAAAGGAGATTAACAGCCTTCATCAGATTAGAGAGCTTTGAGTGAGGGGGGGTGGGGGGTGAGGGAGGCAGTGGTTCACAACTGTTTGGTATGAGTTTGCCTTCATCATAGGAAGATGAGGAAATCACTGAGGTCCTTTTGGTCCACCTGTCCTGGATTCAGGTGCAAAGAGTTCACAAAATAATGGCTTAAAATTAAGTGCAGGGCCTCCTGTTAGTCTTCAATCAATTCTACATGGCATTTGGCGGCTTTTCAAAAATTCCACTGGGGTTAAACCTCTGGTGCTCACTTGGGTCAGTGAAGTTGCAAGAGCTCTGGGAAGGTAGTAATTCCCACACAGCTGAAAACTAAAATGTGGCCAGCCAGTGCGGCACTGTGGGTTAATGTGCCAGACAGCAAAGATGTTTGAACTGCAAGGTTGATGGTTCAAGCTCACCAGCTGCTCCTCGGAAACCGTATGGGTCTCTATGGGTGGGAACCGACTCAATGGCACTTAACAACAACAACAATGTAGCCCTCGAACTGGGTTATGGTGCACCAGCTACACTACCGGAGAGATTAAGAATTCAGTTTCTAATGAAATAATGTACTTGTAATGAAGGATCCCTTCTCCAATCTTTCATTTCTGCTCATTTGTACCTCTTCTATGTCATTGACCATTTTCTACTTTTATCACAGCTGTGTCATCTTCTTTGTTCCCCAGTAAACTGGAACCTTCTTTCAGAAAGGTGATCTAAGATCTCTTTGAGGCAACCTCATACAAGAGGAAGAAATGGAGACTCTGGAACCATACAGACATGGGTTGGTTGGTTAAATGTTGTATCCCGGGCCATCCAACCAGGAATTCTGGTTCATTATATCTGGGATGGAGTCCTGGTGTGGTGCTGTGGGTTCATGTGCTGGGCTGTAAAGTCACTTTGAACCACAAGGTTAGCAGCTCAAGCTCACCAGCTGCTCCTCGGAAACCCTATTCATGGTTGCTATGGGTTGGAAGAGACTCGAAGGCACTTCACAACAACAGCATATCTGGGATGGAACTGGCTTCAGCACTTTTAATTGACATCCTAGTTGATTTTGGTGTAATTGACATGCTAGTTGATTTTGGTGTATGTTCCCATTCGACATACTTTCAGAACATGGATCTTGTATAGCCCAATTACTTTATGCATGGGAGCAAGAAAGAAACCAAACATTTGTTAAATACGACAGAGTTCTTATCTAGAGAAGCAGCAACACCAGAGATTGAGGCAGAGGTGAG